CATTTTTTCATATCTCTTTCTTTCATAATCTCTATTCTCAAATGCAAGACTATGTGCGTGTGACTAGTAAAGACTATATACATAAAGGTGTTATATAAAATTCAGCTCCTTGTTCTGCCAGGAAGTGATTACTAATTTTTAACTACATACGTGGACATTTGAGATGTATCTTGAGTTACTCAGATAGCACTGAGCATTCTTCTGAAGCAGTTGCCCATTAAAAATGCTACTGCTTAGAAAAGTTGGGGTTTTTTTGTTTGTTTGTTTGTTTGTTTTGTTGTTGTCTATTTCTGTGCACAAATGCAAAATTTTAGTTCTAGTACCTTGGTTGTTTCAAAATAGATGCCAAGGATACTCTGTAATCTGTCTCTGAAAAAACTGAATGTACTGAACCTTCCAATCAGATATCTGAAGTACAACTAGCCTGACAGATAATTGTTAGCCATCTGTCACCAAACTGAAACACCGATGCAGCCAGTAGCACAGGCAGATCCACCACTTGAACCAGTCCTGACAAAAACAGAGGACTGACAGCACATTTTATAGCAATTTACATTTGAAGCTTACTCAGAAGTTGTTATACATAAAGTGCAAAGGAATGCAAATGCAAGGAAAATGTAATTATGTTTGGGGACTTTTTGTTTTGTTTTGGATTGTTTTGGTTTACTTTGTCTTCTTCATCTGGTTTTGAATCTGATTTCTGCTTTTCTTAATGTCTTAAAATTTTTATGAGATTTGTGTAAGGCATAGAGTGAAAAACAGAGATAATTGGATTTGTGGAACTGGTGGTGAAGTGCCACAGAGATAATTAAGGGACTGAAGCATTTTTTGTCTGAGGAGAGGCAGAGGGAGTTGGGACTATTAAGTGTGGGGAAGAGTCAAGGAGATCTCACCAATGTGCACAAATGCCTGAAAAGAGGAAGCAAAGAGAGCCAGGCTCCTCTCAGTGGTGGCCAGTGACAGGACAAGAGGCAATAGGAAAAAATTTAAATGCCTGAATTCCACCTGAACATAAACCAGTTTTCTACTGTGACCAAAAATTCACACAGGTTGACCAGAGAGGTTGTGAAATCTCATCTCCAGAGGTATTCAAAACTTGACTAGACACAGTCCCAGGCAAGGAGCTGTAGGTGGCCCTTCTTGAACAGGAGTGTTGGACAAGATGATTTCCTGAGGTCACCTCTGACCTCAGTCTTTGCTGTTCTTTGGCAAAGGCCTTTGAGGGGCACCCAGACAGGCACCATGAAAAGTGGGTGAACAAATGTAGGGATTCTGTGTGTAAGGATGGGAAAAACACCAGGCTGACATCCAGTCCTGGACATCCAGTGATTTTAATTTTCTTTGCACTGCCCTTATTTAATTTATGTACATTTATTTTTCCTAACCAGAGCAGAGTGTGTATAATATGTAAGCTGTAGCTGCTGGTGCCATCTATTTGTGCTATTCTGTTGTTCCCTTGATATTTATGACTACTGAGGCTACTGGTAGTGGGTCACTGGGTGCCTATGTGCTAGGTTTGCATGGGTAATGTAGGTACCCTTGTCTGAAAAATCTGCAACAGCTCCAAGGGTTCCTATTCTAATAGAAGGTCACAAGAAACTTTAACTCTGGTAGGTATTCAGGGTTTACCTATGTGCTTACAACCATTTTTAGAAAATGTTTAGAAAATTGCACTCAGTATTGAATGCTAGGAGCTTCTCTTCTCCAAACTACTCTCTCTGGACATACTAGGGTATCTCAATTCTTTATGTCCTAATTGTAGTAGTGTTGTCACCCTCAGTTTTTGTAAAATCTCTCTAAACTTCTTTGTTGTTCATCAAATCATATTTCTGAGGACAAGACCTGCACCTCTTCATGAAGATCTCTTATTTTTCAGAAGACCAAAGTGAATCAAACAGGATAAGGAAACAAAAAAATCGTAGAGAATAGTCCTAAGAGAAAGCATAACATTAGGAGCAGTTAAGCAAATATGAGTAATGTTCATAGGAAGTACATGACATTTAATTCTAACAGGAAATGAAATGAACAGAAATTGTGAAAAGGGAGAAGATTCCCAAGTAAGAAACTAGATACGGCTTTTTGTGGATGGAGATCAAAAAGCCATTTAAGCTGCAAAACAACCAGTGCATATGATTGATATCTTAAGTGGGCTAACAGAATTTTGCAGTAGTGCTAGCTATATGTGTTTGTTCCCCACAGATCAAGAGAAATTAATGTTAATAATATCTAATAAGCTCATGTAGATCAAGACAATTCTGTGGCTCACAATAAGGCAGAGAAGAAAGGATCTTCATCAGGCTGTTGTTTTCATGCACTCACATGGAGCATAGGTCATACACAGCTTGCTTTGAAACTTAGTCCCTACACAGAGTAAATCAGGCAAGATTTTTGTATCTAATAAGCTGGCTACTCTGGTGGTTTTTCTTATACTTTTTTCTTAGCTATTTTCTTTCTTGTTCATTGTCATGCTCATAACCTTTATACATTCTATATAGATGCAACACATGAACTTCACTTGTGTTATCAGAATTGCATTGTTCCTGAAGTATTTGCTGATAGTGTACATCTAACTTTCCATTAGAGAGAGAGCCCATTTCCTCTGGGCCAGGGTCCTTGAACTTCTCCGGCTTCCAGGCTACTCATGGAAGCCAACATGCTTTGTGATGTGCTTTGTTGCCCTCAGACTATCTCTGGATACATCAGTTCCACTGCCCATACAAAGCTTTGCAGGTATTTTCTGACTTCATTGCTAAAAAGGCTGGTGTCTGAATTTGTTTTTTCTTCTGCTTCTTATAATTTTAAAATACTGAGTAATACTGATTCTTTGGTATTCTATAGTATTTATACCATAGTTATGTCTGAGCACTGAAGTGGCACTAAAATGCAGGGTAAAAGTGCTACACAGGACCCAGAAAGAAAATATCATGTTTGTTCTGAACAAGAAACACATGAAACAGTTAAAGAATATTGGCTATTTTTTGACTAGAGACCAAATCATCTTTTCAAAAATTGTGGAAGTGTAATTGATTTTATAGGATTGGTTATTAAATTGTAGCCCCCATTCTTTTATGAAAGGAATTATAGGAAAGCCTTATTTTATTTTTATTTATTTTTTAAAGTATGACTACCTTGCACTTGCATCCACCTGCATCCTTTTACACCACCCAGTTGAAAAGTTAGCCAATTCAGTGAGATTTACTGATTTACATCCAGATACATTCACATCCAGAGGCATTTAGAGCCCAATGAAAAGGTGTCACTTGCAGCCCTGTAAGTATGGTGATAGAAGTTCACAGAAGAGACAAAATGAAACTTGTGGTCTCAAAGGTTTTCCAGCAACATTAGAAATTTCAGAAATGTTGAAAATTATTGATTTTCTTATGAAAAGCCACTACAGACTGGATACATGACCCATTTATTCCATTTAGAGCAAAACTGTTGACCAAGGAGTACCACACCAAGGCAGTTTTGCATTCTGACTGTATTGCTTTCAGCCAAGATCCTCTTCTAGGAACAAACTAGCAATAAGAGGCTAATCTATTGTCCACATGTCATGTGTGCAATGCACCTCATCTGGCAAGCCTGACCAGCATTTAGAGTGTTTAAAAACAGACCACAGTTCACATGAGCACTAAAATGCACATAAAGCCTCTGACCATCATCATCTCCACCTTCCAAAGTCTAAGATCTCCTTCCCTTGTTGGTTGTTTTTGACCCCGGACCCCATCAGCACTTAAGTGCCAGTTAAGCTGCTGTGGTGTGTAGATGGTTCTGTGGAAAAATGCATTTCCCAGAGTTGTTATAGGTGGGATGCTTGAAGAACCCTGCTTGACCTGTAGGCTGCAAACATGCTTGTCTGTGTAAAAGGTTAGTGGGGTTGAGGCTGGAATGAATAATTACCCAGCTTGTCTCACCTTTCTTCTTCCCATAGCTGACACATGTCCTGGGCACAGGCACACTTGTGGCACCATAGAGGGACAAACAGCTCTGCTGCTGGACCTAACAGATTATGGTCCCTTTGAGTCATTTGATCTGCAGTTTAAATCACTTTCGCTGATCTGTTTAAAGTTTTCTATGTTGCTTTTGAAACATTAAACAAGTCAAATACCTGTCCTCTGTGAATATTTCAAGGGCTTCCTTTTATAGCCAACAAAAATGGTATCAGGAAAATTTGTTCTAGACCAAAATCTGCTTTCTTCTTCTTGCACATACCTCGGCCAGTTGTCTCACCCAGGATCTTGACATTTGACTTAAAATGATCCACATGGCTACTTCACAATTTCCAAGTCTATCCATGGAGTGATGTTCTTGCCTGTCTGGAGTAGTACTTGCAGCATTTGGCTGTGTTGGAAACAGGCCAGAGACAGATTGCCCAGTCTCTAACTGCCTTCGTAGAATAGTGATCATCTAATTCTACTGTTTTACTTTTACCACCTCCGTGATGGATATGCTGGGGTCTTTCACATTATTTCCCAGTGCCTGCAACTCTCAGTGGACTTTTAAAGTGATTTGATAGCCAAGGATGTCCTGGTCCTTCCACAGAGCCCTCCCTGAAGCCCTCCCTTTCACACTGAACAGTCTAAAGCTCCTACTGTGGCAAAGTCTGCCCTGGCTACAGAATTTAAAACAGGCAGCAAACATCTTCTTTGCTAATAGATGCTACACCCTGGAAAAAATACCGTTCTCAAAAACTGAACAAGGAAGTTGTAAACAACGTGCAGTCTAACTTCCTTGTAGATAACAAATTTTCTAATCCTTTTCAGGGTAAATTAGGAAAGTTATTTTTCCTTTCTGGGACATTACCTTTCAGAAAAGTGCTGCCATAAGGCTTTGTGGAAAAATTAAAAACCCCCAAAACACATTTGGCATACTTTGTTCCGAAACTAAACTAACACTCAACTACCTTTTCCTCACTTGACCGCCACTTAAATGAAAGAAGACTTCTCATATGATAGGGAAATTCTTCTTTCTTGGAAACCTTGACCCTGTTGCCAGTAAATATGGAGATATCGTTTAGAAAAACGTCACAGATGATTGTGGTCAAATTTGTTGAAAGTGGAGCAAGACGTATAAAAAAGCACAGCAAAAATACCGATCAGCCACCACATGAGCAATAGGTTATCTATGCAAGCATCTTGGGGAAGAAGCTACTTTGAGGGTTAACAAAATTAGGTTAACCTCTGTCATCTAACCAGTCTGGCTGCATCACACATGCTGCTGTGACTGTAGAGGCTCAAAGATTTGGAAGCGAAGATGAAAGGATGTTCTATTTTCAGATCTGGGCATTTTTTATTTCTGCTTTGCCTTTTTGCTGTGGAAGGCAAAAAGTCACCTACAGGAAAACATACCTGCCGAAAAGGACTCCTCTCCCAGGTGACAGAGAACCTGTATGTCAAGGCAACTAGTTTAAAATCGTCTGTTCCTGTAAGTTGATCCCACTAATTGAAAAAGTTTATTTTATTGATAGATGCTTCTTTATTTGTTTAATTACTGAACTGATGGAACCTTTAATAAGATGAATGATTTCTACAGTCCTGAGAGACAGGGTAATGCAGTTACTTCTTTTGTAAAGGTGGGAAAAAATGATGCATAGTTGATGCATAGAGAGGCTGGATGAGTTTTCTATGAAAGAAATTTGCAGCTACGCTAGGACCAGAAAACAGATTTACTAAGTCCTCTACCCTACAACTGAAGAAGATTATGAAGATTAATGTTATTGTTACTAAATTTTGTACAAACCAGACTTGAAACTGTCTCACTTCCTCTGCTTGGGTTAATAAATACTATCACATTATATTTTACAGAAAGACCTTATCAAGACCACGAGACTGCTTAAAAAGACTACAAAAATGCTGTTTATGGTAAGATTTATATTACCAGTTTTCAATTTTCTTACTTTGACTTTCCTTTGATCAATAGAAACAGGAATATGTGATCAAAAGCAATGACAACTGATGCAAAAATCCCTTGTGTTTAATTGGGAAAAAGACATTTAAGAAAGCCACATACTTAATGAAGTTCTCTGCTTAGAGGAAGAGTGCTATTTCTCTCTCAAGAAAGGGATATTCCCCTGGGACATGAAGGGACAATTGATTATGGTATGGGGAGAAAGAGGTGAATTTGGAAACCCTGCCTGGAGGTACTTCTCTTTAGGCAGCTGAAGCCATGCTCTGCCAGCGAAGTTGGGGTGAGGGTGTTTTTGGTTTTTTTGGGAGGAGTGTGCTTGTGGTAGCAGTCCTCCTGTGAGCTGGATGTGAGCCTTCCAGGAATGCTTTCAGGCAGCAGCTCTCACAGAAGGACCAGAGCCACAGCCACTGTCCTGCAGCTGAGGCACCTTCTGCTGAGGGTGTGCAGTACCATGGATAGCCCGAGGATGTTGCAGAGAGTTGAGACACCCAAGGAGCTGCTTTGAGCTTAGACCTCTGCAGGTGCACTGGAAGAGGGTCATCAGAGTTCCCAGTGCAATTCAGCATGGGAGTGAGGAAAAAACCTTGGGGTATCTAATTGTAAGTGACTCTAAGTGCGTGAGACAGTTTTCTTCATGCAGAGGTCTAGTCAGCAAGACCAAGTGAGTTGGTTTATCCTTAAGTATAGACCTATTGGCCTTTGGTGCTCCTTGGATTTCACCAATTACCTTGGGAGCAAAGGGTCCTCGCTTGTCTGTGGCACCTACACACAGATACCCACATTTAAGTGGTGTCATCTGCAGCTGCATTAGCTTCCTGACAGGAATCTCTCACCTGACACTTCATTCCATTGCCTAAAAATAGGCATATAGTAATTTGAAATGCCTTTAGGTGTCCAAGAGAACCCACAGGTCAAGCAGATACAACACAGGGTTGACAGGATGACTGATCTTTTCTGGAGCAGCAATTGGGGATGGGCCAGGTGTCCTACAGCATATCAAATGGCATGGGATAGTGATGTGGAGGAGTGGAAAAATGACACATACAATGATGCCTACAATTTGACCTAAATGGTCTAGCTTAATTCCCCAATTCATCTTCCACTTACACTTTGGGTGTTAAGTATGTTTGTTGCCGTCACTTCTTTTCTGGAAGACCATGATTGGTCTTACCAATACTCCTGTGCCTTCCAGCACAGCACCCTCCTGCCTTTCCTTCAGAAAACACAGAGGCAGACTGAGCTGTTTATAACAAAAGGAAGAAAGTAAATCAGATGCTAAAATTCATAAAAATAATTTTATTGATTGCACACTTTCTAAAGATGCAAGTTTTATGAGGCTGAAATTTTAAGACAAAGTCGACTTGTGGGGTGTTCATTTAGCAAATCAGTACTTGATTTGTTTTCAGACAAACTGCAGTGTTCGAGATCAGCTCCTCTCCTTCTATGTGAAAAATGTCTTCAGTCGTCTTGAGGTAGGAAGTGACAAGTTGTACTTTATTAGTGCCTTCCAGGTCCTGCAAGCAAACATGGATGCCTGTGTGAGTATATTCCTGACAGCTAAGATAACTTTGTCTGTCTGAAAAGTTAGGGAAGGGTTCCATCTCAGTTTTTCAGCAGATGGAGAGGCAGAGGGTGATTCAGAGTCATGGTGTGACTCATGCCACAGGGGACCCAAATTCACAGGGGCATCTCCACTGGGTCCAGGGAAGTTTAACACCATTCATTCCCTCCCAGAGTGATCTTGTGGGGAGTTTGCAGGGTGGTGGAGATCCCATGGAGCCGAGCCACTTCCCTACTGACAATGTCACCTTGTGCTGCACTCTAAAACTGCAAAGAAACAGGGTGATCACAGGGCAAATGTGGCTCCTCAAGTTTCTGTGATGTAAGTGGTAATGCTTTCCTTCTTCAACAACATACCCTCCACAGGTATCTTTACTCACATGTCATCTCTGCTCCTCCATACTGAACTTTGAAAGAACTGGTGGTGTCTCATGAGTAAGCAGGGGCCACAATTATGAAACACATGGGAGCACTTCCTATGTATTACCTGTGCTCACAGTCAGAGCGGGTTGTCAGAGAGTGATGCTGCCACTGGCAAAATGTCTCCAGGTGCCCCAGAGAAGAGACACTTTTACCAACTCTGCCTAAATAACAACAGGACAGCAGTTAGAGCCTTTAGATTTGCCTGTGCAAAGATAATAACATACCAGGGAGACACTAAGATGATGCCATCATTTGTTGGTAATTTCTCACATAATTTTTAAGGGTAAACAAATAGTGATTAGGTGTGTACTGAAACAAAATATCCTATGGATATATTTTTTTCCTCTCCTAAACCTGAAGTCCTCATAAATAATATTGTCCCAGAAAATGGAGCTTGACCTAGGGTGAAATGTAGACATGGATATCAAGGCAAATGTCTACTGTGATTTAAAAAGTGAGAGCAGGATGGCAAGTCAATGAATTAATGAATAAAATTAGTTGAACCTTCAGCTAATCATCTGAACTGCACCATAGAATGAAAGAAAAGGACAGTGGTTCTACATGCACAAAAAAATTTGCAATGCAAAAAAAAAAAAAAAAAACAAACCATCTTCAGAGATCTCTTTGCAGACTTATAGGTCAGAATTCTGCAGGTTTCTCAGAGCTCCTGCATTCTTTTCATAATTAGTGCTTGTGTTTTACCTAAGAGAAGTCTAAACATAACAACTTACCTTTTTGGGTCTTAAAAAGTACTGATAAGAGAGCTAAGACTCTCCCTGCAAGTAGAAAAACAACAGCTCTTTGAAAAAGGATGGCTTGCCATGATTTTCTAGAAGACACTTCATTTCTGGAAACTAATATTTTTTGAAATGTTTGTATTAATTCAAACTGAGCAATACAAAACCATGTGAAAAAAAATTATGAATAGAGTAAAAGTATTAATTCAAACCGAGCAATACAAAACCATGTGAAAAAAAAATTATGAATAGAGTAAAAGTATTCAAACCGAGCAATACAAAACCACGTGAAAAAAAATTATGAATAGAGTAAAATTAATTGATTCTTTGCTAAAAGTAAACTTGAGATTTTTTCATATATTATTCCTCAATAAATTAGCACTCATTCATCCATGTACATATCCCTTTAATTGTTATTACCTAGTTTAGCTATAAGATGTTTATCAGAAGGGATTTCACAATGATTGCATATTATGTAATTATTTTTTGCCTTTCAAGAATGAAGTTCTCTATACAACCAAAGGAAACAGTGCTACCTTTATAGACATATTCTCCTTATTTTCTTTCACAAACTCGGGCTGTAATTCAGCCAACTAGATGCATGTGTGCTGCCTAGAAATCCTAACAATATTTGCCACAGAACCACTTCCAAAGACTTATACTACAGTATTATGATTCTCACCCTGCCAGTTCTTGGTTTTGTCCAAACAAGGAAGCATTAATATTTTGTAATGATATTGAGGCCTAAGTTCAGTTTTTTAGAAATATGTAAGTTTGAAAATCTCTAAACTGATTTCCTGCCATAAAGTCAGACTTCTTCAGACTTAGACTATGACTGCAAGGTAAAGGAAACAGACATTTTCCCTTTGTTACTTGGAGCACCCACCTACAGCACCATTGACCTCATTACTTGTTTGAGTGCCCTGGTCAGCATTGCTGAGAACAGTGTGAAGTTGCTTCTGAGGTTGGACTTATGTTCCTACATCAGTAGCACATTGCAGAAGTGTTTTCTCATAATTGAATGGAGTGCAGAAGGACAATGTATTCCCTGCACAGCCTTTAGTATTTCTCTATCATTTTAGACAGAGCTTGTAGACCTCAAGCTGAATTAGAGCAATGCTTGCAATACTCTAATTTGCTGGCCAGCTCATTTAGTTAATTGCAGTATATGCAGGAAGATAAGTTTGTAATGTGTATCACCACTAAAGCAAATAAAACTACTTTAAGGTCAGTTCTGCTACCAAATGATATATCTCCATACAAGATGGAGATAATTAAAAAAAAAAAAGTTCCAGGTTAGAAAGAACTACCATGGTTGGAAGATTTTTTAAGATAAAAGACATGTCTTTGAATGTTTTTAAAGATTTGCTTTTTTTTCCCACTTTCATCATATGAGGTGACTTTGGGAAGCACAAAAGGTAACCTGAAAATGTTTGTGCTTCTTTTTAAAGTACTGCATGTGACATAGAAAAGGACAAACCATTCATTTCAGAGGAGTTATTTTCTTCCATGTGTTGAGATGACGACTTTTGCCTTTTTTCTTTTCAGACATGTTGTCCTTGTTTGTAGATTGGAAAACATAACATTTTTCCTTTTTTTCTCTCTGAAAGAATGTATTTTTGACAGTCCAGGTAGCTGAGGATCAGCAGGCCATGTTGCTCAGGAAGCTTAGTCTGGCAACTCTAAAAAAACCGTCTGGAACAGCTTTGGGTGGCCAAAGCTGAGTGGCCAGAGATAGGTGGTGAGGAGACAACTAAGTCCTCCAGACTGTAATTAGTCAGACAGTAGAGAAATAGGCAGGGAAACAGAGAAAAACATAAATTAGCTTATAAACATATTTGGAAGCCTTGCAGAAATGTGCAAATTTGCTCCCTGTACTTTGCAATGGTCTTTGGCTTCTCTCAGATTCAGAGATTCTGAGGGTTTAGAGCTAAAGGACTTTGAATATCCTTGAGCTAGGATACAATGTGCAAAAGCTGTAACTGCAATTTATGTAAAATTTCTGAGATAAATAGAAAGTGTTTAATAAGAAAACATAGAGATGGTCACAGTGCCAATTTTGGGTGTTGTGAACTCAACTTGGCAAGGAGAATGCAGATAAAAGAACACATCTGGGTGACACTGAAGTTTTGCTGAGATCACACATTTTACTGGTAGCCCTACAGTGCCACACTGTGGGCTGGACTCTTCTTCATCACTGTGTCTTTATATCAGCATCTTTGGGTTTTTTTCATCCTTCAGCTTCCATGTTCTCCATCCACAAGGTTAACTTCTGCTGTCAAAAAGTTAAAGAGAATGTTTCTTAAGGTAAGAACAGGAGGTGCTGGCTCCCCACCGCACTGTTCAAGGGCTGTAGCTAGTTTCTTTTCTAATGCCTTTATCTTCTCAACAGCTTGGAGATCAGGGATTCTACAAGGCCATCCATGAACTGGACATTCTCCTTCCCTGGATTCAGGCCTACATACAAACCATCATATGAAGAATGAGGAAGTGACAGACAGTGTGCTGCTTCTGTAAGAAGAACAGATCAATACCCAAAAGGCCTGAAAATTACCTGAGAGCCAGATGATCAGTGTGACTGGCAGTAAGTTCCTCCCATGGAATGAGACCTACTGTAACACAAGTGGCACTGAAGAGGGCTTTTCATAGGCTTTCATGGTTAACCTGGCACAGCAGCTTTGCCTGTTCTGCCTCTGGAGCAGCTAGAGCACCCTCTGTGCTTCCCATCCTGCCTGCCTGCCTGCTGCCTCGCAGGCAGCCCCCAAATGTGCCCCACCACCAGAATGTGGAATCTGCTACCCTGCGGATCTGCACAACGTCCCATGTGCTGTGGGCATGATCTTGCCGTGGCTTGTGCACCCTGTGTGAATACAGTTCAAAGAAATGAGGATCACCTTGGAAAATCCTTCCCCTAAGCTATATTTCTTTTGGGGCTAGATATATAACTGTATACACAAGCCATTCTACATGTAAATAAGAAAAATAATTATGTAATGCTTATCTTTATTATTAATTTAAGGTAATAATTGATCCCTAAGAAAAATACACAATTAATGTAAAAGCTTTTTTTCAGACTCATGCATGAGTTTTAGATGTCACATGATCTACATGAGATCAGACACTCAGAAAACACAATAAATGGATTACTTTCACTGGAATTGCAAAATGACTTGTGAGAAATTTATGGAAGTTGATGGTAGTGGTTTCCAGAATGTCTGTCATATAGTACAGAATGAAGATGCAGCTCTAGTTTTCTCACATTTTTAAAGATTTACCAGGAGAAAATATTTAGGCAATGAACATATTCCTAATTTGTATGTTTGGCAGTTCCATGGGGCTGAGATTCTGCAAATCTTCAAATCTCATAGTTCTACTATGTCAGGAGCATTTGAAACCATTAGTGTGATGAAACTGATGAGCCTGAGCTAGTTCATCTTCTGGCAAATGTCTAATAGAAGGGAGTTGGAATGAAAAATACATTTTTTCCAGTTGAAGACAAAATGATTAATTAGAGGGACAGTGGAAAATTTGATATCATGGTTTTTTTTGAGCATTGTAATTTAACATTTAATTAACACAATGTCCCTTTTCATGGATTTTTTCACACCCATTAATTTTTGAAATTCAAGTTTGCTTTCAGTTTCAGTGTTTTTTGTCCAAACTGTGGTGTATGGAATAGAAAATTGACTATGGACATGGCCTCTCCAGCCTTTGTCAGACATAACTGTCTAGTACTTGCCACTGGTAGAGAGCTGGGATCTGGGATCCCTGTGTCTGTGGGATTTGCTGCTTCTCTGCCTCAGAAGGGAGCCAGTGACACCTGGCTCCTGGCAAACAGAAAAACTGGTACCTTTAGCTGAGAAGATCCATGGGCAGTGGTTTCAGGTGATTTAGGTTGCCGAAGTCTTCTCTTATGGAAATGTTGCACATCTGGTCAGTGAGTGATGCATGAAGAGACACATGACCTCTAGAAAGGGCAAGTAACACCTTCCCTGCCACACTGCATTCCTGGAGTCAGCCCTGCAGTGGGAATGGGCAGCCAGCAGACCTCTCACAGCAGGGTTTGAAGTCAGGCTGCAGCAAATCTCAGCCTCCATTCATCTAACAAGGAAATCAAGCTATTTTATAGCATAAAAACTAAGCATTTGTGTATTTCAGCGCTCATTTTCCATACGGCCTGGGACACTTTGCAGACTCTTACTTGCCGTGTCTATAAAATGGAAGTACCTCTGGGAATGATGAATCCCTTCATACAGTAGTGAAAATCACATTTGCAAACCAATGAAACACTCCTGGATGAAAGCCAAAATACAGCATCTGCAAAATAAAGAACATTACCTAATTCAGAAGTGTTGTGGTAAGTGATACATGTCATATGCAGGCTACCTAACAACAAATATTACTTTGAGTCTTCACAGAAACATAGCAAAATAACTGGTATTAAATATAGTCAACTGTCAAGTCAAAGTAATAAGTATGGGCAAAAGTTTATTACCTTTTCAAAACAGACAAGTGAAAGATTACATTTTAATTTTACAGATGAGACTCTAGGTGTCACTCTTAGAAAACAAGACTCATGTTAGCCTCACTTAACTGCTGACTTGAGTTGATGGAGAAAGTGTTAGAACACATTTAATAAGTAGTTTTCTTAAGTGGAAACTGAGACAGATATGCAATTGGGTTAAAAAGATTTAATTATTTAAATTCAATTGCCACAAATGTAGAATTGAAATGAAAAATGCAGGGTGAGAATGATGGGCATATAGCAACAAACTGATTCAGTCTCTAGTTTCACGATAGAATTCTTATGTGACTATGGACAATTTCCTTTATTAAGGTACTGCTCTCCTTTAACTGTCTTTCAATTATTTGTTCAAGTTAATTTTGTGTGCAGAAATCCTCAGAAGGAAATTATTTCCCATGTAGTGTTAATTGATGTCACTGTTGCTTAGCATGGCTTGTCTTATCACAGTGTTTTGGTCTTTTTGAAGCAGTGACTTATTACGTGGAAAAAAAAGGTATTTTATGACTGTTACTGCAAAAGCAAGAATGAAAAATATGTGGCTGTGCATGAAAATTGTCACTAGATCAAAACTTCTTTAAAAACACTGATCTAGTGGAAAGTAGCAGCTGCACATGCAGTTTTGGTGTTATGTAAATAGTACATCAACAGTCAGTGAAGACAATTTCCATCACATACTAGATCACATTCATTTTCTGGTTTCCCTGAAGTGTTTTTTTTTTTTTCCTCTAAAGTACAAAATCTTCAGAGCAGAGGTTTTCACTTAATAAATAATTTCTGGTGTAGGCCCAACCATCTACAGTAAATTCCTGATCTCAGCTGCAGCCCTGGTGCTATAATGTAGTTGTAGAATCATGGAATTATAACATCATAGAATTGTTCAGGTTGGAAAAGATCATTCAGATCATCCAGTTCAGTCATTAACTCAACACTGACAAGTCCACCATAAAACCATGTCCCCAAGTACCAAATCCACAGGTCTTTTTCCTACCTCCAGGGATGGTAACTCAACCATTTCCCTGGGCAGCCTGCTCCAGTGCTTGACAACTTTTCTTGGTTGCAACTTGACAGTGCTTTCAGAGAAGATTATTTCCTAATCTCCAATCTAAACAAGTCCTGGCAAATGCTGGGACAGTTTCCCTTGGAGAGCATTAGAAGGATTAGAAGATTAGAAGACTGTTTCCTGAAACATGGAACTAAGAATGGCATTTGGACAATGATGCAGCATGTTTTGAAATTGGCTATTTGGTCACAGTTTCTTTGCGCCCACAACATACACCAATTTCTAGGGATTGCAATAGCAGACTCTTCACTGCAAAGATACATGGCTAAAGGTGAAATGTTTGAACTTTTGGCCTAGTGATTAACGAGATGCTCTCGAGTTAACCCCCAGTAGTCAATGAGCCCAGATACTTAAGTCAAATCATCTTCCTCTCAGGAGTTGTGGGGCTGCCAAGAGAAGGGGTGCGTGGGCAGGCTGTACAGGAATGGGAGGGACACAACAGCCCCTGTACAGATGCAGTGGTCACCTTACAGCTTCTCCCATCTTTAGCCAACCTTCTCATGTTGCAAATAATGAGTGCCCTGGGCCTACCCCCTCCTAAATACTGCCAGGATCTGCTGAGCCGTGAAGAATGGTCTCACCTCAAATCTGTTTTCATTGAAAAATCAGTGTTGAGGTTGACATTCCCTATTCTGTTGGCTTCAGTGGAAGAGTGATTTGGAAATGTAAAGGCAGCTGGTAGGTTTATTGCACTAAAGGAGCATTGTTTGCCAGAGGGAAAAGGGAGCCACAGGAATACCATCAACTGAGGGTGGAGTTTATCATGGAATAAAGTGAAATATGTCAGAAGAAAGTTTGAATTGCAAAATGTTATGGATAATGTTTTTTTGCCGGTCTTTGGATAGAGTGGGTTGAAGAAAAGCATCAATGGTCATAAAGCCACAGGGTCCACAGGATAAATGAGGCTGTCATGGGACTCTGGAGACTTCTGGCCTGACCTCCTGCTCAAAGCAAGGAACACCAGGAGATCAAACCAGGCTGCTCAGGGCTTTATACAGTTGGATCTTGAAAAATCTCTGATAGGAGTGACGGAAGGCTGACTTTGAAGGGCCATTGCATAACTTCTAACTGGGTAAGGTACTACAGAGCTGAATGAAGCCACAGCTGAAGGAGAAGTTTTCCATAGTTGAAACAACTGCCTGGTCACAAAATGTTTGTGTGAGGTGAATGACAAATTGCAGGCAAGTGTTGAGTCCTGTGAGAGAAAAGGGTTGAATGAATTTTGAAACAGAATTAAGGCAGATGAGAAGTCACAGATGTTTCACTTTGGTAAATTACTTCTGAAGGTTGTAGGCCCCTCTAAATTTATGCTAAGGTTTTCGGTCCAAAGTCTTGGAGATGGAAACCAGCCCACTCCTGACCTGGCTCCTGGCTCCTCTTTTGGCAGCTTCCAGGGAAGTTTCTAATGTGTGGCCCATAAAAAGGTTATGCAGATCTCCCTGCTCCTTGGCCAATGTCTCTGGATATCTCCAGAGTGCTCCACCTTCTCATCCCAGGTTATAATGCTCTTTTTAGAGTTTTGTTGGCTTCTGGTAGGTTTTCTGCCTCAGCAAACTGGCAAAGAGCAAGAAAACATGTTAAACTAGGATATTTAAATAATTTCAGCTATCTGATTACCATTCCCTGATTTTTGAATCGTCAGAGATAGAAACCTGAGAAAATACAAATTTAATTCTGTTTAGTGGAAGAGGGTGTAATAGATGTAGAGGCAACTTGAGGAGGAAGGGTGTAGAAGAGGAGTGATGATGGGTGAACAGAGGAGCCTGGGTATTTGAGTCTTATCCGTATGTTTCAGCATGTTGCTGTATTTTGCACATTAAAAAAACCTACTTAAAGAAAGCCGGATGTAAAGCTTCTAGCAGATGGAGTTGCAGAGAAAAGAATGAAACGTAAA